CTTTTTTAAATACTTTTAAAAGCATTTTTTTCGGCCAAAGAGAAAAAATGTAGAAAAAATGCTTTTAAAAGTAAAAAAAAAAAAGCCTCTGATGATTGTGCGGCTCAGCTGGGTATGGGGAGGGAGGGCAGGAATTTTTGCTACCGATTCTCCGAACCACCTGCCTCCATCACTACCCGGATCGGGCGATCCGATCTGAACCGGGAGCATTTCACCCCTGTTCCAAAATGTCCAGAATTACCCTTATATTATCTTTAATCTGTCTTTTTGGCAGAAACCCATTTTGATCAGAGTGTATGAAATTGTTTAGATATCTTTTAAGTCTTTCTGCCAGTATTGAAGTGAAGATTTTATAGTCTGAATTTAGCAGGGATATAGGCCTATAATTCTTGATTTGTTGTGGGTCAGTATCCTCCTTTGGAACAAGTATAATATATGCTTCTGACCATGACTTGGGTAGTTTCATCTTTGACATGGCTTCATTCATAACTTCTAACAACGGGAGACTCAACGATTCCTGTAGTGTCTTGTAATATTCCGCTGGCAATCCATCCGGGCCTGGTGCCTTCCCATTCTTTTGTTTTTTAAGTGCTTCAGTTAATTCCATCATCATTATATTTTCTTCTAACATCATTTCGGTATCTTTAGAAATCTAGGGTAGATTCGCTTTCTGCAGGTATTGTTTAACACTTTCCTCCACAATATTCTCTTGCTCATATAGTTTTCTATAATAATCTTACATAATTGTTTTCTTCTCTTTATACCCATATCTGATTTGCCCTTGATCATCTACTAGTTGTGTTATTTTTCTTGATTCTCTCTCTTTTTTCAGTTTATATGCTAACCATCTACTTGGTTTATTTGCATCTTCAAAATAGTTCTGTTTGGCACTTCTAATTTTTTATGCTAAATCCTCTTTTTCTATTAATCCCATTTTATGTTTAATTGTGTCCATTTTTATTTTGGTGTCCTTTTTTTGTGGAAAATTCTGTAATTCTTTTTCAAGTTTCTTGTAGTCATCCTCTAATGTTTTATAAGCTTGTCTTTTCTTGGTGTTTCTTTTCCTTGTATAGTCTATTATCAAACCTCTAGCATAGGCCTTCATTGTATCCCAAAGATTTTGCATTGATGTGTCCTCCTTTCTATTTTCTTTAAAAAAGAAAACCAATTCTTTCTCAATTTTCTGTGCAAATTCCTTTTCTTTTAATACTGTATTATTTAAGGTCCATCTAGATCTTCTCCTTTGTCCTTTCCATTTCATTGTCATTGGGTTATGATCTGCCCAGGTGTTTACTTCTATGTCAATTTCTTCTATGTTAGAAGTCAATTCCATTGTTGTCCATATCATGTCTATTCTAGACCATGAGGAGTGTCTGTTTGAATAAAAAGTATGTTGTCTATTTTTTGCATTTCTTTCTCTCCATGCATCTTTTAAGTTTATTTCCTCTATCATTTTAAAGAATGATTTCGGAAGAATCTTTCTACTTTGCTTTGTTGTTTTCTGTGTATTGTAGTCTAATTTCTCATCTACTATACCATTGAAGTCTCTCATCATGCAAACATTATCATAGTCCAATTCAATTATTTTCGTATGTAATTTTCTATAAAATTCTTCTTGATTATCATTTGGAGCGTATATTGCTATTTTTAATAGCAATATACTATTTTTATATTATTGTCTATTATTATATTATTGTCTATTATTTCCACCATCAAAATTCTTCCATCATCATCTGAATAAATTTGCTCCACTGGAATTGTATCTCTAATATACAAAACAATTCCTCTTTTCTTACATTGTGGCAATGAAGTGAATGTTTTCCCTAATTTTGGCTGTATCAATATTTGTTCATGCTGCTTTTTAATGTGTACTTCTTGTAAACAAATTATATCAAACTTTAATTTCTTTAATTTATGAAATGTCTTTCTTCTTTTAATGGCTAAATTAAGTCCATTTATGTTTATTGTAATCAATTTTTTTCTCTTTCATATTTATATTTTATGAGAAGGATTTATTGCTCTAGTAGATCTCGGTTCACGTTGTTCTCTATATTCCACGTTGCCACCCACTGCACCTTCTTCTTATTCAGGCGTTGCAAGGTACTCCTCGTGTAGTTCAGTCAATGTATCTTCTCTTCTTGTCTCCTCTTCTTTCTATCTAAAGTATTCTGCATGGAATATTTCTGCTTTGTCGATTGAATCTATTCTATATTTTTGGTGGGGAGGCGGAGCTGGTATTGTGATGGTACGGTGGGCGATCTTGAAGTTCCAAGATGACCGTCGATATCTTTGCCGCTGGACAGTCCGTTTTGGACCTCACTGTCCCGTAGAGATGGTGATAGTGGAGGGCACATCCTGCTGATCACAGGGACACAGCAAAGTCCTTGGTTGATCCAGGAGAAGCCCTTTTTTCTATAGACAATATAAATATATTGTCTATAGACAATATAAATATATTATCCGAGAGAACACTCTGAGGTTAAAAGGAAATTAAAATTGAAGACAGAAGAGGTTAAGCGGCGGAATTAAGCCTGAGTCTAATGTAGCTTTTCCTATTTTTTAACATATTTTTACTTGTGGATGTTTATGGACGCTTTTACTTTGGACTGGACTGGATTGGATTGAAGTTTTCTGTTTTATCTACTTAACGACTAAATTCTTAGTGCCTTTTTGTGTAAATTTTCTATTGTTCTACTTTTTTTGTTTACCTTTTTTTTGTCTCTTTGTTTTATTGTGTATTGAATATAAGAAGGGAAGGGAAAGCGAAGGTAATAAGTAACACTGCCATCTAGTGGACTGGAAATATTGTTTCTTTTTTTTCTCTCTGGATTAAGAAAGTAACAACTGTGTTACTGTGTTACATTTCAAGGACTCTGAGCCTATTTATAGATAAGATAGTGGGAAGAGCATCAAAGACTGTTTACATGATTGTTTATTCAGGTGTTCTTCTGGCAAACTATCAGTGGCAGGCGTCTGAGATTGAAAAGAAGAAGATTGCAGTGACTCTGGAAAGAGAGCTGTAAATAATTATTTGAAATTTAACAAAAGAGTTTTTTCTGAAGATTTTCTATTTGTTTGAATTATTTCCAACCACTACATAGAAATGAGTAGAAAGGCAACAGCTATTGGTTCTTCTACATCGACCCCTTCCTCTTCACCATCTGGAGGACAACGATCAATACAGACGATGTTGCAACAGGAAAAGGAGAAGGATCGAGAGAAGGAAAAGGAAGTGACATTGCAGGTGATTTGGCAAGGAATTCAAAAAATACAATCAAGAGTAGAGAATATTGAACAAAGAACAGAAAAAATTGAACAAAGAACAGAAAAAACAGATGAAAAAGTGGAGAACATACACCAAATGATGAAGAAGTATGAGGATAGGCTCCAAAAAATTGAAGAAAAGGAAGAACAAAGGGACAAAAAAAATCAGAGATATTGACAGTAGATTGGATGAGGTTGAATGAGATAAGAGTAGAATACTGGGATGGGAGATGGACAGATCAGAATTTCACCTCAGATTTCAAAATATAGAAGAAGAAAAGGGAGAAAACTTGGCAGAAAAAAAGTTAGCAATTTTAGCGGAAGCACTAGAAATTACCAAAGAAAAGATGATGGATGGCATAGACAAAGTATTTCGAGTCTATACAAGATACGCAATGAGAAACAAGCTACCAAGAGAAGTCCACATAAGATTTACTAAGAAATCAATTAAAACGCAAATACTACAGATCACAAGAGAGAAAACATTGAAATATAAAGATAAGGATATTGTGGTTCTGAAACAAATACCGAGAAGAGTGAGGGAGATGAGAAGAGAATATCATTTTCTGACCAAAATATTACTTAAGAAAGGTGTGAATTACAGATGGCTGATACCAGAAGGCCTTGCATTTACATGGCAACAACAAAAATATAGGTAACATTTACTTTTAATGTGGTGGAAAGAGTGGGAACCTTCAGAGTTGGCTTTCCATAGTTTGTGCCAAGATGATATCTCCTAATAAAACTGTTCTTTGAGGAACCAACTTACCTCAGAGTCCTTTTTGCAATGAGTGTATTACTTGGAACCCTGACAGCAAGCTACTAGAATATAAATTGAGAGCAAACCTCACTCCCTTGAAGCACTGATGACTTTACCCTGGTTTGGGTAATGAAAAATCTGCAAGAAAACAGCCAAGCTCAAAGTGCCAAGGACCCTTCATACAAATATTTTCTTCATGAAAGAAATATAGATGTTGATAGGCATACTGCTTTTCATTGAAATAAAATATCAGATTAAAAACTAAACAAAATAAATTTAGGGATCAAATCTAAATAAACTTCAAAAAAATAATTAAGTCTGTCTACTGTTTGTAAATCCTTTTTGGGAAATGTAAGGGAAAAGATATTCAGAGTTTGCATTCACAATGTTGTGTCCAAATGAAAAATTGTTAATATAGCTAGTAAATGATGAGTAGTTTTGAATATTTACCCTTTTTATAAGATTTTACAAAACACTCTTTTACATTAATTTTTTAATCAAAGTATTTCCCTACATTTTAAATGCCCCTTGGAAACTGCATTTTAATGTATCAGTATTATCAGATTACAAACATAATTATTAACATGGGAATTGAATAAATTTTTATATTGCATCAATATAATTTCTATACAACAGGTATAAAATTGTATATATTTAAAATCAATAGCAGGAATAATTGAATGAGTGGTGGAAATCAACCAATAGTATCCTCAAAAACTTGACAAAAGAATTGACCGTGAATTGCCATCTTACCATCACAGCCAAGAAAAGATAAAAATTTATGTTGTGTCATTGTAGAGGAATAGTATACCATCTATAAATTATTTTCATGGTATTTCTACAGGACGTACTGAAATAATTTTAGGACAAAATATCTTATTTCAGTGAAAGAAAATTAAATTAAAGATCCAATTTGCTTTTTTTTTTTATAGAATACCTTTGTAGTTACTATATTAATGGTGCTCATTTTCAATAGGTAGCCTTGTCCAAAGAATATTGGAAACAAAGAAGGATTATGAATTGTCACAGTTGCAAAAATCTGCTGAAAAGGTAACTCGCAAATAAACTTCAAAGAATTGATTATGGCAAATTTTTACCTTTTACTCTTCATTGGTATCTCCAATCTAATCATCTCTTAACCGATTTTAATATTAAAGCAGTGATTATTATAGAGATATAAACAAAGAAAATATTGTTTCAACAGCATTTATTTTAATACTTTGGTGTATGCTACCCAAAATCCCTCTCCAAGGGAACTAAGTGGTTCAAAAATGTGATAAACAAATGGAAGGAAGGAAGGTTTAATGGTTTAATAGTTTAATGGTTTAAATGTTGTCTGTAATTCTTCTCTAAAGAGAAAATCCATTGACTTGACCTGGCTAGAGTTTGAGGCCCTTTTGAATCTTGTGGAGTTGAATTAAGTTGAATCAAAGATGGAGGTTAGCAGGAGGTTATAGGCACTCTGACTGACGATATGTTTTTTCAGTATTTGATTGGTCAATTGTAAATGCCTTATAGCAGTGGTCCCCAACCCCCGGTCCGCGGACCGGTGCCGGGCCGTGGAGTACCTGGCACCGGGCCGCGCAGCGGCCGGGGGACATGAACGCTGCAGCGCACGGCCCAGGAGCCTTTGCGCTGCAGCGTTCATGTCCCCCGGCCGCTTTTGCGCACTGGGCCGTGCGCAAAAGCTCCTGGGCCGTGCCCCCACCCCTGCGCGCGCTCAGCGGGCCGCGGCGATAAAAAGGTTGGGGACCACTGCCTTATAGTTTTTGTAAATAATTTTAATATCCATGGCACATCTGTGGCAAGATTTTCAAAAATATAGGAGTTGGTAATTTTTCTCTTTCCCTACCTTCCAGTCATGATTGATGCTGATTAAAGGGGACTGTCAGCCTCAGCTTTGCCTGCTTCAGCTGCCATAAGAAACAGGGGGAGAGACTTAGTAAAGGGGGCGAAGGGGGGGAAGGGAGCAGGAGGTGTTTTTCCATTGTAGGAGGTGTCTTCCCAAGAAACGAAAGTGAATCTCCAAAGGGGCTGGCTGACCAACTGCCATACATTCCTGATGAATGACGCTGCCAGACGTGATGCCACCTGACCTTTGGGAGACCTTTGGATTGGATGATGATCAATGGACACGGGGGCGGGGGGAGAAGCTTAGTAGATGCTATTTCGCACGTTTTGCTCACTTCCAGCTTTACCTGGGTTGCGATCATTTCATATTCAGTAAAAGTACTAATCTCTTTAAAATGATTGAGTTTGGGTTTTCCTTTCCTGGATATTGAAGGAAGCATACCTGACAGGGACTCAATCAATAGCAATAGTTTACAGAGTCAGCATATTGCCGCCAACAATCTGGGTCCTCATTTTACCAACCTCAGAAGGATGGAAAGCTGAGTCAACCTTGAGCCAGTGAGAATCAAACTGCTGGCAGCCGACAGTCAACAGAATTAGCCCGCAGTACTGCATTCTAACCACTGTGCCACCATGGCTCAATTAACTTTAATATCTATAACTTCTTCATATTTGTTTTCTTATTTTGTAGCATTTTCATATTCTATCATTCTCTGGCTCCTCCTCAAAAGAGAGTTACTGTTCAGAACTTTCCACAATCTTCTATATGTTGATCAGCTGAAAATTTGAGAACTCTTTATTTTGTTTTTTAATTTTTTTATATAGAAAAGCATGGGAAGCCAATCAGGGTAAATTATTCAGCAAATGATACAATAGAAATGTTTGACTCCCCTATGCAGAGTGTTATTGCTCCTCTAATAGGAAGAATTATACAGTTTGTCTACCTTGACCCCAGGGAAGCTGGAGCTTCTGGAAACGAGAATGAAGATATATAGAAATCAAAGTAAATGGGGACATGTTGACTTCTTCATATCACCTATGTTTTCTATTATTAATTCAAGGGGCTGCTCTTGAAGACAATAGACGCTTCAACTGGACCACAATGCAGGGTGTGAGCAGTGATGGGCATGCTTCAGTATGCCCATTTAATACCTCTGCTTTATGAGCTGCACTGGCTCTGGTGGATTCAATCTGGTAGAGTTAGCATGCTACAGGTTTGTTCAAGTATGCAGTTTCCATAGAACCTCTTGGTTTACAGCAGGTATTCATGAAATGAAATGACATAAGAGTATTTAGAGCACAAGTGGAGGAAGATGAGGAATGAAGCAAATAAAACACAGGTACAAGTCTTTATTAAGACTTATTTTTGTTGTGGTAAGAGTGGCGAACCATACGTAAGTCTCCGTTCTTATTGCATTACCAGATGGCTGGCCAGCAGTTCTATTTTGGATGACCAGTTCCCCCTCCTGGGTAAGGGGTGTAGAATTAGTCCTTCCAGAATCACAGTGAGGATTATTCTAGGCATCTATTGGATAAAGTCACTTGACTTTGGAGTTGGGCTCTAGATGAGAAGATCTAGAGAATCCAGAGTCCAAGACCTACAGTATAATCTGGATCCATTTAAGTCAGGGGTTGGCAACTATGGCCCTTTTATGACTTGTGGACTTCAACTCCCAGAATTCCTGAGCCAGCCATCTTAGCTTAGGAATTCTGGGAATTGAAGTTCACAAGTCATAAAAGGGCCATAGTTGCCCACCTCTGATTTAAGTGATGGCATGTTGGATCCAAGTGATGGTATATGCGAGGAGGGGATAGTTCCACTGGCCTTGAAGGAGGGGATAGTTCCACTGGCCTTGAAAGAGGCAGTGGATCACTCCTACCCAGAAGGCCATCCTTGAACTGTACAGTCTTAGATAACTTTCACTGTTTAGGGAAGGTTGTTGAGAGTAGTGAGCTCCCAGCTACAGAGACCCTTGGATGAAGCGACAGTGGGGATGGAGACTTGCTTCATATTCCAGAATGGGAGGGAAGCGCCCTTGTACTTGCCTCTCATCTCACGGGCACTTCTTCCAGTGCTTCTTGGTGCTGTGCACACCTCTGTCGCTTGGGGAGATGTGCCACTTGATCTCTGCCCTGGGACACTGGTCCGGCCTGTCTGCAGCCAATGCTCTATATCGTAATGGGCTCCAGGAGGAGGAGGGGATGCCATCTCCCCCATTGTAAAGTGCGCTAAATTTAAGAGCAGCGATGTCAGCTGCAGCCGGGCCAAGCCAGTGTCTAGGGGCAGAGATCAAGTTGCACGTCTCTCTGAGCAACCGAGGTGCATGGAGCTGCTGTGGCCCCATCTACAGGTGGGTTTCCTTTCTCCTGTGCTCTCGTGGTCACTTGGGCCGCCAGCTGCTGCCATGGGAGCATCAGTTTGACTATTTCTACTTTACAGCTATTGTACTGAGGCATTCTTGACAAAGCATGAGCCAGGAAATTCTTCCCTCCGGGTAAATAGTGCAAAGTAAAGTTGTACCACCTAAAGTATTGGACCCTTTGTGCCTGTTTAGTTTTCTAGGAATTTTCAGGGCTTCCAGGTTTTTGTGATCAATCCAAAAAGGAATTCCAGAAAGGAATTTTGCTTTCCTGCAAGAAATACCTCCAGGAAAGGAATACCCATCTAACCGCATAGGCTTCCTTTTCCCATACAGCCCAGTGTTGTTCAGTCTCAGTTAATTTTTTAGATGTGGACAAGGCTGTAACTGCCTATGCCCATTCTCGCCATTAACATTTTTGTTGAGTTATTAGATTAAGATGCAAAATACAAAAGAAAATAGGAAAACAATGGGGAGATGAGGGGAAGAAAAGTGAGGAAGGATTAAGAGAAAGAAGAGCCGGTGAGACCCGAACTGCCAAACTGCTGGCCACATCTTTCCCCTCAATTCCCAAGCAGTTACAGCAAAGCAAAAGCATGCAAGCCATTCTACCCACAGTGTATCCCTCCCCTCTTCAGAATGGCAGCGTTCCGATAGGGACCTGACAGTGTTCTTAAAACCTTCACTAATGGAGCACCCACATCTTCTGAAAGAAACGGTTCCACTGGTTAATTGTTTTCACTGTCAGGAAATCTCTTCTTAGTCCTAGGTTGCTTCTCTCTTTGATTAGTTTCCATACATTGCTTCTTGTCCTGCCTTCTGGTGTTTTGGAAAATACGTTGACCCCCTCTTCTTTGTGGCAGCCCTTCAAATATTGGAACACCGCTATCATGTCACCTAATCCTTCTTTTCACTAGACTAGTTATACCTAATTCCTGCAACTATTCTTCATATGTTTTAGCCTCCAGCCCCTTAATTATCTTTGTTGCATTTCTCTGCACGCTTTCCACAGTCTCAACATCTTTTTTATATTGTGGTGACCAAAACTGGATGCAGGATTCCAAGTGTGGTCTTACCAAGGTATTATAAAGCATGTTCTTGACTTTATCTCTCTGTTAATGTGCAACCTAGGATTTTATTGTCTTTTTGGTGGCTGCATCACACTACTAGCTCATATTTAAGTGTTTGTCCACTAGGACTCCAAGATCCCTCTCACAGTTACTGCTATTGAGCCAGGTGCCACCTATTTTATACATTTAGTTTTTCTTATCTTAATGTAAAACTTTACTTTTCTCACCATTGGATTTCATTTTATTAGGTAGGGTCCAATGTTCAAGTCTGTCAAGATCCTTCTGAATCTTGAGCCTATCTTCTGGAGTGATGGCTGTTCCTGCCAGCTTGGTTTTGTCTGCAGATTTGATGAGTTTCATTTAAATTGTTTATGAAGATATTGAACAGTACTGGGCCTAAGACAGAATCCTGGGCTACTCACTGCTTACTTCCCTCCATGTAGAAGTTCTTTAATTAAGACTACACATTGCGGTTTGTCAGCAAGTTACAAATCCATCTGGTGGTGATGTTGTTTATGCCACATTTTTTAACTTACTAAATAGTTGGTTGTGGTTTATTTTGTCAAATGCCTTACTGAAAACCAAGTATCCTATGTCCAGTGCTTTTTGCTGGTCACTAACTTACTGTATTTTTCAGACTATAAGACACACCAGACTATAAAACGCACCTTAATTTTTGGGGAGGAAAACAAGAAAAAAAATCTCTGCCTCTGCCCACCAGCATCAGCGTCTTCACTTCCACTCGGATTTTGATAATGAGCAGCACAGATCTTTTTATCCATTTAAAACAAACCCTATCACTCTACACGCATTTAACTGGGTGGGGTGGAGTATGATTTTCATGGGGGCAGAAGAGGGTCTTGGCACCGAAGGCTCCACTTTTAAGACCCCCCTGTCTTCCTACAGCCGTAGGCGTTGAAAGCCTGGCTTTCTCGCAGCAAGGCCCGATAGAGACGCAGCACTTCAGTCCTCCTGGACACTGCCATCTCGTAAACATGGTGCTGGGCTTCCCGGCAAGCCCCCTGCACCTTTGCTGCCTCGGTCGGAGCCTGATTCCAGAAGCAGCCCGGGGAAGCACGGAGGTCAGGACTCAGTTGGCGAAGCGGGCGCTGCACAGAGGGCATAAGGCAAGGCGTTGCCGCCCAAAAACACTGTTGCCGCCTGGAACAGCCCAAAAATGCAATACCCTCACACGCCCCACTTTTGGAATCAGGGAGGAAAAAGAGCATCACATTTTCGGGTGTTACGCAGGAGGTGTAAGGCAAGGCACTGCCACCTGAAAACACTGTTGCTGCGATCTCTGCTGCCTCGAACTGCCCAAAAACATGATGCTCTTTTTTTGCCTCTGCACGCCACGTTTTTGGAATTGGGGAAGAAAGTGTTTTGGGCTGCAGAGCCTGCCACACACCCCATTTTTGGAATCTGGGAGGAAAGTGTTTTCAGGTGGCAGCGCCTTGCCTTATGCTCCCTGCGCTGCCACCCGAAAACACTTTCCTCCCTGATTCCAAAAGCAGGGCGTGTAGCAGGCGCTGCCGCCCCAAAAGTCTTTCCTCCCCAATTCCAAAAACTGTGTGTGTGGCAGGTGTTGCCGCCCGAAAACACTTTCCTCCCAGCATCATGTTTATGAGATGGCAGCGTCCAGGAGGATTGAAGTGCTGCGTCTCTTATCGGGCCTTGCTGTGAGAAGGCCAGGCTTTCAGTGCCTATAGCTATAGGTAGGAAGACGGAGGCGTCTTGAGAGTGAAGCCTTTGGTGCCAAGTCCGTCTTCTGTCCCCATGAAAATCATACCCCACCCCACCCCACCCACTCCAGTTAAATGTGTGTTGGGTGATAGGGTTTGTTTTAAACAGATAAAAAGATCTGTGCTGCTTGTTATCAAAATCTGAGTGGAAGTGAGGATCCCCGCAGCCTGGAACCGCTGGAAAATACGACGCATAGAGGCCAACAACCTCCAAAGGATGGGGGCTGGCAGATGGGTGGGGCTACATTTGGTGTATAAATGCACCCAAATTTTCACCCTCTTTTTTTTGGAGGGGGGGGAGTGTGTCTTATACTCCGAAAAATATGGTAGTCACTTTGTCAACGATTGAAATAAGATTTGTTTGGCATGATATATTTTTGACAAACTCATGTTGGCTTCTGATGATAATTTTACTTGATTCTATGTGTTTGCAGATATGTTGCTTGATTCTCTTTTTCAGGATCTTCCCAGGTATTGATGTCACACTGATTGGTCTATAGTTTCCTGGATCTCTTTTTTCCCCTTTTTTGATGATGCGAACCATGTCAGTTCTTTTCCAGTCCTCTGATAGTTCCCCGGTACTCCAGGAACTTTGAAAAAAATAGTTCAATGGTTCCAAGATCACATCTGCCAGCTGCTTTAGAATTCTGGGATGTAAACCATCAGGTCCTGGGGATTTGAACTCATGTAGAGTGGACAGGTTTTTTCTTACCATTTTCTTGCCTATTTTAATTTGAATTCCTAGTTTGTCTTTTATGGCTTTTGATAGGTTGGGCTATTTTTTCTTTTTGTGTGAAGATGATCTGTCCCCGTACACACACACACACAAACACAGCCAGCCGAGGGTTAAGGAAACACTTTGGCACACACCCAGGTCTTTATCTCCAACTTGGCAGCGATTTACACACCGTCTGCCAAGTGCATTTATTTCCACAAAACAGAAAGATAAGATACTTAGCGTACAAAAGTCCAATCAGAATAATATTCCTCTCAGCAGTTTCCGGACGAGGCTTTAGTGACTATAGGCTTTAGGTTTACTTTTGTTCGTCACAGGGATCGCTGGCCACCACCCTCTATTATATAGTCTCTGGGGTGTGGTCCAGTGACTCAGTTCTAATCCCTAGCATGCCTCCTGAGCTGCTGCAATCGTTTATCATGCCTTCGGAGGCGTGCGTCCAGGAATGATGTCTCTCCCTCGCTCTCATCCGAGCCACCTGTCTCCCTGCTAATCTCCTCTCCCTCGGCCGGCACCTGAGACAGTGCCAGAGGGGAGGGGTCTGGAGAGGGAGGCCTGGCTGACTCCTCTTCCTCATGCTCGGAGCTTTCTTCCTCCGATGGGACAGGCTCAGAGGGCGGGGCCACAACAGAAGATAAGATTCAAAGAAAGAATTACATAGCTTTTTTTTCTCCCAGCTGCCCATTCACTTCCTTGCCATTAGTGCACCAATTGTTTCTTTGGCTTTTTTCTTGTTTTTTACATGTTGAAGGAAACTTCTTTATTGTTTTTGTCATTTATTGCAAGTCTTTGTTCATTCTGAGCCATAGCTTTCCTGACTTCATCTTTGCAAGTTCGGGTACATGCTGCAAGTTCGGGTACATTTCATACCAATGAAAATATGTCACTCATAGAAGAAAACAACAACCAAGAGCATTGTCCCTGTTGACTAGTGATGCCCAGTTCAGTGCAGCCCCAATGGAACTGATTGATTCCTATCCTCCCTCTGGGAGAAAGCATTCAGACACCTGGAAAAGGGACAACATCAAGTGATCATCAAGTGACAGGAAGAAAAAGTAGCCCAGACTTTCCCAGATTCATTTCTTCTGATAGTTGTTTCTGTATTGTGTTCAGTTTGGATACAGTTTTCTTCCTTTGGTTGGAATTTCTTGTTTTGTAGGTTGAGCCTCAGAGTGGCTAGAGTTGCTTCTACATCTTTTACTTTTTCTTCAAGTAGTTCATTTAGTTTACATTAGATACTTGTGTAATTTGGGTCTTCTATGAGCATGAGTGCCTACATGGAACGTATTTTGCAAATGACAATAACATCAGTCTCTTTTTCCATGACTATATTTCTTTTTATGACTAATTCATTTAAAAATTAAAAATTTCCAAAGTTTTCAAAATGGACCTGGGGGTTCAGATACTGATCTTTTGCATACAATTGGCCATGAAAAAAGTCTGGAAAATTAAAGAAGATGAATTGTTGACTAAGGAAGTCATGTTGACATGAAATACTTGATTTGCTTTCCAAATAAATGATGGCTAATTGGGCTGTACCTCATAAGGACTGGGGGAATATATTTTTAAAAATTGATTATTGTATTATCCAATAACATAACTTTTGCTAAAGTAAGCATATCATTTTATTTCTCTGCATTTGATATTATTTACTTGATTTATATTCCTTGTCTCCTCGTGAAATGAGCACTATTTTATTGATGCTTCTAAAACACATTCTTTCAGTCCTGTTACTTTATTTTTCCCATTGATTGATATCTGAACTTTTTAAAAACTCTTAGGAGAAGCCACTTTTGTCAGAAGCAGCAAAGAGAAAAGAAAAAGATTTAGTAACTAAAGAAATAGAGAAATTTTGTGGCTCTATTCAGGCCCTTTGTCGGAGTGCTCTCCCTCTTGGTAAAATAATGGACTATATTCAAGAAGATGTAGATGCCATGAAAAATGAGCTTCAGACATGGCAGAATGAAAATAAAGAACTTGAAGAGACCCTGCAGAAGGAACAAGGGTAAGAATCTTTTAAAAACAATTGCAATAAAAGACTAGATTAATCCAAAGATTCATAGGGTTTTATCTACAAGACAAATCTGAATTGGATCTGTTTCTTTGACTGGATGTGCAAAACTGAGAAAGAGGGTAGACTAGAAGAGATCTAAGACTTTTGTAGAAAAAAAAATTGCATGGGTATGTGGGAAAGAATATTCTCTCAAGCTACCAGATCTATCTATAGAAGTAAACACAAGCATGTGGGTTCTTCTGTTTCTAGGAAGAAAGCACAGTGCCTTGTTGAACATAAGTAAACTGCTTGCCTCTCACAATTCAACTTTGCAGCAGGCAAAGATTAATAAATGCAGTACCTGCATTTAGAGTAAGTGCTCAACCATCCCAGGCCTACCTGCAGTTTGAGCCAGATAGCCTTATCTGCAATTTCCACTTAAAGTTGAAGACTCTACAATATTCCTGTTACTTTATTATTAATGAAAGATGTAGTTGTTTTCTTGTGGCAAAATGTTAGTGATTAATTCTGTAACTACTATAGGAAGGGATGATAAAATAAGTACTACATTTAAGTATTGATAGTCTATGATCCAACATACTGTTGAATTAACTTTAATCTAGCACTAACTACTTTTTTTTTTAAAAAAATGATTTATATGCCGCCCTTCTCCGGAGACTCAGGGCGGCTTACAATGCGTTAAGCAATAGCCTTCATACTTTTGTATATTTATACAAAGTCAGCTTATTGCCCCCACAATCTGGGTCCTCATTTTACCTACCTTAGAAAGGATGGAAGGCTGAGTCAACCTTGAGCCTGGTGAGAGCCAGTTTTCTGTAGTGGATAAAGGTACCAGGCCAGATACCAGGATATGTTGAGTTCTAGTCCTGCCTTAGGCATGATGCTAGCTGAATTATGCCAGTCACTCACTCTCAGCCAATGGTGCCAAGAAAACTAAGTGGATTTGTCCAGGCAGACTCCCGAAATCAAGCATACATATGTGCGTATGTCCATATGTGCATGCACACGCACACACACCTAATTATCATACAAACTATTTGATACTGAGAATTAACTGAAAAGAATTAAACATGTGAAGCATGAAGAATACCTGGGTTGTTCTTTATTATATTGTTACTTGTTGCTGACTTTTGTTATGACACAAATAGTATAAGACAAAACATTATTGATGCATTTGTCCATCAGCTTTGTAAGATGAATCTTCTTCATTTTACAGTCTAGTGGAAACTTAAGAATACTTGCTTAAACTCTTGTTTTAGTTCAGTCTGGATGGCTTTCTTTTCTCCTTTTCTTCCCAGCTCAATAAAATCTCAAGATAACTTTATTACAGTTAATTCTCATCTTACAATCACAATTGCGCCTAGAATTTTGGTTGTAAGTCATGGTCATTAAATGAGACACCCATGCTGCCTTACTCAATGATCACAATCATTGCAGTTGTTAAACAACTGTACATGGTGCTTTGGAGGTGGGAGAGAAGTCTTGGGAGCCCCAGTGTCCACTGGCATGCAGAAATCGGACATGGACAGAAGCCCTTGGCCAGCTAGGCCCAGCACTGCCCTCCCTTCCCAACCACCCATTCTTGTTCCTAGCCAGCCTTTAAAAAGATTGCCTCTCTAGCCTTAAGAAAATTCCCTTCACTAGCTCTCTAACTCAGCCTTGCATCAGTCTTGTGAGCAGCTGCAAGGGAAGGAAAAGGTATGTGGACCTTGGATGTTTTGGGGCAAAGTAGGTGGGGTGGGAGGCCAGGCTTCTTGGGAGTGGTGAGGGGATGGCAGGAGAAGCTAGCTAGCTGAGGCCCTTTGGGAGGGGGAGAGATGAAGTCTTCTTGGAATTGGAGGGAGGCAGAAGGATTTCACTGATTGAGGCATTCCAGGAGTGGGAGGGGGCAGAACAAGTTTCCTAGGAGTAAGGGGAGGTACAGCCCATGCACTGCTGGGCAGAGCCAGCAAGGTGTCCTGGTGTGTGGAAGATTTCCATGTGCCAGAGCCTAGTTGTTCAAAGCCTCATGGTCCACAGAGGGGGAGTTGCAGCACTCCTGCAGTCATAAGGATAGATGAACTGCCACGCACCTGAATTTTGATCACATGACCACAGGGGCATTGTTACAATCAGAACTTTGGGCAGAGGTCATCACTCCGCTTCTTCAATGCCTTTGTAATTTTGAACAGTCCTCAAACAGTTGTAAGTTGAGGACTACCTGTATATACTGTTGTGAGCTCATTTTCTTACCATTTTTTAGTTTTTAATGGTTATTAATTGTTTAGTTTTAATTTGTTAATGGGTTTTAATTCGCACTGTTTTAATTCGGGCCAAAGTATATAATTCTTTTAATTAATTTTAAATTTTGTATTGTTATGTATTTTAGTTTTGGCTGTGCACTGCCCTGAGTCCACTAGGAGAAGGGCGGTATATAAATTGAATAAATAAATAAATAAATAAATAAATTTCCTTGAATTAAATGCAACAAATTTAATTTTATCCAGAACAGATTTACATTAGTTTTACAATGTATAGTTTGCTGTTTTTATCTTTTCAGAATCACAGATGGTGTTGTGGAACCCTTAAAAATAGAACTTACTGAGTTGGATCAATTGATCAAAGATGAAGAAGACAAGATTTATACTAAGAGAGCTAATGTTTTAAGAAACAATGAAAAAATTCAGAAGATGGTTCATATTATCAACTCAAGAAGGTGAACAGTGGAAGGCTGGAACCTATTACATTGTTTGCAAATAAAATTACAATACAATAGCTTATACAATTTCAAGTATTTGAACAATTGTGAATGGTTTTTTTTGGAAAATACTGGTTGTAGTTTTTAAAGTGCAAAATATTTACTGTATTTAATCTGTTGTGGTTGGTTTTTCTGCTACTATCAATACCCCTAATTTGTGGCTTTCTGTTCTGTAAGACATTATTTTTCTTTATACAGAGTATGGAATTTGAGAGGGTTGCAGTTGTGATTATCTTAGAATCCTTGGAAAATTTGTATTGGAATTCTTGCAAGTTCAGGAAAAACACTGTATACCTTTGTGGTATCGTAAGGAACAAAAAGTAAGACGTTGACCCCATAAGAAAATTTGTAATGAAATTCTTACAGCTCAAGATAAAAATGCAGTTTATCTTTGTTTATTTAAGACATCTTGTAACATAGAGAAAACAAGATATTGATCTGAACTTATTGGTTACATTTGCAATGTACATTTACATCCTACTTCTCTCTCTTTCGCTCTCTCATTTTCTTTCTCTCATATTCTCATATTAAATCATTCCAAAAGAATTAGAATATGGAAATTGCATACATTTATGCTTGGGAGTGTGGATTTTGCTGTTCCTATATAGTTTTAAAATGTCTTTGCGGTATTTAATTTATGGGAGTCACAAATAATGGAAAACTTGCTGGCCAACCAAATTATATGGTTTCTAGGACACTAACTTCATTTAATGTCATCTTAGATTTTGGAAGGAATGTGTGTGCGCAAATCTTTAAAAAAAATACAGCACTTCAATCTAGCATGGTAATGCTTGTTCTAAGAATACTTTCTAAGATCCTCAACCTTGTGAAGTCCTGTAAATTTATAATTACCATTTAAAAATAGCACAACCCAAAAGTAAGGATTTCCCTTTCCACAACTCAGTTTCACATTTGAAAGATACCCGAGACAACCTATCTTGAAGGGAGTTTGACATCTGTCTTCTGTCTCTCTGATGAATTGATGAATATAAATATAAACTGAATGTTTTTTGTTTTTTGAAACTATATTTGTTAATGAATTGATTTAAGAAAATTCATTTTTCCATTTGGAAATCTATCATTTCTTTGCTGGGTTAAGTATACTTTACTAGATGTGGAGCAGAAAGGTAATTTAATATGTGCATATTGAAGGAGAGGGGTTGATTAATAAATATAGAAGACAGTCCTAATGGTTAGGGAAAGTATGCTTGTTGCAATATTTAAATTTCTACCATACATTGTCCTACATTTTATCCATATGATTCTCTAAATTTTGATTGGAAATAAGTTTTAAATAACTGAAATAATCATTACTGCAAAATCAGTAAGCACTGTCTTGATTTAAACACTTGTTTTTTTGAGTGTAATGTTGTCTATTATTTTATGTTATATTAATTAAATTGTCCTTAATTAAGATGCATTCCAAATTTCCAACTATTTCCAACCATTTGTTTAAATATATATCTCAAATTAAATATTATCAAAGTAGAATACATGTTCACTTTCCTTAAACTATAAATCTGTAGTTTTAGAAAACGGATAGTTAAAAAAAAATTGGATCAAATATATTATCATAGATGTTTTTATGCTAAAGTTGCCATTCTTTATAAACTACATATTATTACAAGACATTTGAAGCTTAATATATCTCAAATTTCCTTTTATTTTCGACATAGATCTCTGTAGGATTATATATCACATTGTTACAAGAGTCCAATTTTATCTGTCAGTAAAATGTACAGCATAAAATATCATTTGTATTTTATTTTTTTCTATAAATTTAATAAATTGTCTATTTTTGTATGAACATTGTTTGCATAGTTATTTGGGGGGAAATATTTTATATAAACAACTAATATTAAAACTTATTGCATCTTCATGAATCCTTCCATTATTGTGTATAAAGTAGTCTTGCTGCGTTCAACATGTAAAGCATCAAAGTTCCAATTTTTTTCCCCAGGTCTTTTTCCATTAAACCCAAAAGAAAAGTTTCTGGTTTTATCTTTATATTCATTTTAATAACTTTCTGTATTAGAATATGAATCCTATTCCAATATTCCAATATTTCTTTGTTTTAACACATGTCCACCATAAATGATAAAATGTCAAACATTCATTTGAAATACCTTTATACATTCTAGATAACTTGTCTGGTGTTAAATACCAACGATACATCATCTTATAGAAATTTTCTTTTAAATTGTAATTTAATGTAAATTTTAACCTTTCATCCATGTATTTTCCCATTGTTCAAGCATAACATTATATCCAAAATTCCTTGCCCACTGAATAATACAGTTCACTTTCCAAATTCCTTTTCTGAAAAAGGCTTCCTGGGGGGACACCCAAAGAGGCCTCTTTGCAGAAAACCTTGTTTTATATTTATTCCAAACTCTACATCTAACAAAATGGTTGTTAAAACCAACATTTACTTTAATTTTGTCATACCATATGACCTTAATGACCTTCTAACTCAAGTAGTCTCTTAAGAATAAGAAGTTCACCAACTCTTTTAGCCAGACTAAACAACAAGCACCAAAATACTTTTACCAATCAAATCTGGTAAAATCAAACTCCCTCTTTCCTTAGCATCTTGCAATAGTTTATATCTAATTCTCGATTTTTTTCCCTTGCCATATAAACTTGGAAATATCCCTCTGCCATTGTTTAAATGGAATATCAGTTGCAAGTATTGGTAAAGTCTGAAACAGAAAAAGCATCTTTGGTAAGACATTTATCTTATGAGGGTGAAGGTTGAAGATCGCCTCTCCTTCCAACTTAAGAAAGTACGAACTCTTGAAACGTAGTTGTTCAAAAGGATTCTTTTATTAAGCAGAAGTGAAAACCATCCAGCTAAAGCACAATCTGAATGCCCTTAGGCAAAGCAGTAAGATTAAAGTGGTAGACCCTTTAGGTCAGAATGCAGATTTCAGCCAATACACAAGTGTGAAGATGTTTTCTTTACTATTTCCTTTGAGAACCCGAACAAACATGCATTCCCACCACTTCCCTTTAAAGTGAGACAACCCACATGGCTATCATATAAATTCCTGCAGGTAAAGAGAATCTCAGGCTTCCTTGGCGCCAGGATATAGGTTGTAAAATATCTGATGACACAGGCCATGCTAGTAAATCGAATCCAAGTCCCTCCTTCCTTCACTTGAAAGGCGGTATCACTTTGCCTGCTACCCTCCTTAGAAAACAAAAGGGTCCACCTGTAAAAAAAACAAAAAAACAAATATACACAAGATTTCAAGATTTCATGATAGTAGATCAACAAGGTTTGTTAGGGTATTGGGAGTGAAATTTTCTCAGTAAGATTGGAGCCCTAACGTGGTGTTTAGCGACCCATTCATTGTGTGCTGATGGTAAATGTTTCCAAGCAACTAAGTATTGGACTTTCCCTCTGTGGATCCTAGAATCAAGGATTTCCTTGATTTCAAAATGTTGTTCACCTTCAATCATGATGGGAACAGGTGGTGTAGATGCAGGTGGTCTGAGGGATGAGATTACTTTTCGTTTGAGTAAACTGATATGGAGTGTCTTTGGAAGAAGTAGTTCAACTGCTACTGGATTGATGATTCTAGTGATGGGGAAAGGTCCAATGAACTTTGGCCCTAGTTTTTTCGATGGTTGTAATGATTTCAGGAATTTTATAGATAAGTATACTCTGTCTCCAACATGAAAAGGTTTGGGTTCCATCCTTTTCTTGTCAGCTTGAATCTTAAAAGCTTCTCTAGCTTCCTGTAAGGCTAATCTAACCACTGGCCACGTGTTTTACAAATTATCCATCCACTCCTTAAGTGAGGGGATGGTGGGTTCTTCTGTGGGTAGTTCAGGCATGGGGCTGAAATCCTGGCCTGTTGCTACTCTAAAAGGGGTAAAACCAGTGCTTGAATGTACAGCATTATTAAACGCAACTTCAGCAAAAGGCAAAAGTTCGGTCCAGTTATCCTGTTAAAAATTAATGAAACATCTTAAATATTGTTCTAGTACCGAGTTCAAAATTTCAGAATTACCATTAGTACATGGATGAAAAGATGTGCTCAACCCCTGGCCAGTACCAAGTAAGCCCAAAAACGCCCTCCAAAAGTTGGAGGTGAATTGAGCCCCTCTGTCGGAGATGATCCTTTGTGGAGCACCATGAAGTCGATAAATGTGTATTAGGAATAGTTTGGCTAAACTTTTAGCAGTTGGGATCTTTTGGCAGGGTATAAAATGTGCCTGTTTTGAAAATAGCACAACCCAAATAACAGTATTTCCCTCACTGTTAGGCAATTCCATGATGAAATCCATAGCGATCTCTCCAAGGCGCTGCAGGTTCAGCTACCTTCTGCAATAGACCTGGGGATTTCCCCTGGCGTCTTTTAGCTGCTGCACAAATGGGGCAGCTAGCTACATAGCTTTCTATGTCCTTTTTTAGTGATGGCCACCAAAATTGTCTTTTAATCAGGTGTAAAGTTTTCACAAACCCAAAATGTCCAGCTAATTTGGAGTCATGGCACCGTACCATTAAGCATAGTCTTTGGCTTGCAGGGACATACAACTTCCCCCCCACCCAAGCCAAGTCTTCTTTCATCAGACAGCTGGATTTGTTGTTCAAAAACCATTCATCAGTGGCCAATGCTTGTTTAAAATTTTGGGTGATGTCATTGTCTGTCACTGTTTCTTGTTTTTCCTGGGATCTGGTGACTACTTTAGCGGCTAGTTGACTGTTTTGTACTATAGGTTTGATTACGTCTGACCTTGCACGAATGTATTGTGGTTTTCTGGATAGCGCATCCGCCAGAAAGTTTTTCCCCCCCGGGAGGTATTTTAGAGTAAAATCAAACCGTTTAAAGTACTGAGCCCATCGTACTTGTTTTGGGGAGAGTTTCCTTGGGGTCTTTAGGGCTTCTAGATTTTTATGATCAGTCCAGACTTCAAAAGGGGTCTTACTGCCTTCTAGGAAGTGCCGCCAGGTTAACAATGCCCAACGAACTGCATACGCCTCTTTCTCCCAAATAGCCCACCTTTGCTCAGTCTCATTCAACTTTTTGGATGTGTAAGCACAGGGTTGTAGTTGGTCTTGCTCATTCTTCTGAAGCAGGACCGCTCCTATTGCCACATCGCTGGCATCTGCTTGTATGACAAATGGTTTCTCCGTGTCTGGGTGTTGTAGAATTGGTTCTGCTGAGAACAGCCGTTTAAGTTTTTCAAATGCTGCCTGGCATTCCATAGTCCAGTTCAATGGTTGCTTTGGTTTAGGGTTGTCCTCCCCCTTTGTTTTTAAGAGCTTGGTGAGGGGAGGGCACTCTGAGCAAACGCAGGGATAAACTGGCGGTAAAAGTTGGCAAACCCCAGGAAGCTCTGTAACTGTTTACGTGTGCGTGGAGGGTCCCAATCAAGTACAGCCTGCACTTTTAGAGGATCCATCTCAACCCCCTGGTGTGAAATGCGGTATGCCAAATAGTCAATCTTCTCTTGATGGAATTCACATTTGGAAAGTTTGGCATAAAGTTTGGCAGCACGGAGTTTGTTTAAAACTGCTCTGACTAGTTTTACATGTTCTGCTTTGGTCTCGGTATAGATTAAAATGTTGTCCAAATAGACCAGAACCCCCTTATATAAATGCTGATGCAGCACTTCATTTATTAACTGCATAAACACTGCAGGGGCTCCTTGTAACCCAAAGGGGAGCACCTTGAATTGGTAGCAGCCGAGGGGGGTGTTAAATGCCGTTTTCCACTCATCCCCTTCCTTAATTCTGACACAGTAGTAAGCCTCCCTTAAATCCAGCTTTGAAAAATTTTTCCCTTTAGCGAGGTGTGCTAACATATCTTTCATAAAGGGGAGAGGATACACGTTCTGCACACTGATAGTATTAAGGTTTCGATAGTCAACACATAAGCGTTTTGAACCATCTTTTTTCTCTCTAAACAACACTGGGGCTGCAATTTTTGGTCGGGCTGGCTCGATGAAATACCTTGCTAGGTTTTTCTCAATGAATGTTCTCAGCTGTTCCAACTCCCTCGGTGACATGCTGTACATCTTGGGTTTAGGGAGTTTCGCGCCGGGTAAGATTTCTATTGCACAGTCAGTGGCACGGTGGGGGGGGAGCTCATCTGAGGCTTTTTCGCTAAAAACCTCAGCTAAATCCTTGTATTCTATGGGTATGCCCTCAGTTGGTGTGGCATGACCAGGCATGGCTGTTTCTCAATTCTCTGCCCCCTCAAGTCCTTTATGTGGATACTCAGCAAAAGTCACCTTCCTCTGAAATTTTATGATGCCTTGTTTCCAATTGATTTGTGGGTTCCATCTTTTTAGCCACGCAAGGCCCAGAACCAACGGCCATTCCATGCCGGGTGCCACTATAAAGGTAAGCCTTTCCTCGTGGCTTCCAATGCCTATATGTAGAGGCACGGTGGCCAGAGAAGCTGGCTCCCCTCCTGCTATTGACTCATCTAGTTGGCAGAAAGCAATGGGGGTTTTCAGCTTTCTTACGTTAATCCCTAACTTCCCTACTAAGGTTGGGCTGATCAAACAACGGGTGCACCCCGAATCCACTAGGGTGGGGATACTTATCTCCCTGTCCTGGTTTGGGATAAATAGTCTTAAGGGGAGGGTAAGCGGTTTAATTGGTTTGCTTACCAGTGGCTCATCATCTGGATCGCTTCCGAACGAGTGTGATTCCTCCTGTTCAGATGCCAGGGTTTCTTCCCCAAAGAGGGGAGGGGATGGGACTTCTACGGTCTCCCTGATCCTCAGGGCAGTCTCCTTCCCACGCTGACCCGGTTTTCTAGGACCCTCCCCTGGTGGGTGGT